GTTCTGTACACCGCAGCAGAGCCCATGTGTCAGACTAATGTCATCAAAAGTGAGCAAATACAGAAAGGAATAGAAACAGTCTGTACAAACTATACTCTGTTATGGTCCATTAGCTTCAAACTTACAGAAACATGTTGTGTGAATATGGCAGAAACCTCAGATCTAATGACCAAAAGTTACTTTGTCTACAATGCCCAAAATGGATCCGGATTGAAGTTTGGGAGATTGCACTAATTGAAAGTGTGAGCAGTTAAACCCCTGCACACAGACAGCGAACACTCTTTACGACGGAGCTGCTCAGATATTTGAAAAGGATTGCGAATTAATTAACTCAAGGCTGTGCAGTTTTATGTCACAGATAATATCAACAACGGCACACTAATCTTGTGGTAATAGAATCCTTATTTATCATAGCCTCATTTGTTTAATAGGATGAAGATGTGCCGCAAATATATGCAGAGAAAAGAAACAAGATCCAAACTCGCCCACACAAAGTACAACTCCAAAGCCCTTAGGCACATGCAAGAATATAAGAGTAGTATGAGAGAATGAAAATATGAGAGTGAGAGTGAATGTGTGAATATAAAAGTAAGTGAGAGTATGAATAAGTGAAAGTAGTGCAAGATTATGACAGAGTACGAGTAAGTACGAGTATACAAGCAAATCTGTGAATATGAAAAAGTGACAGAATGAGCGAGAGTATAGGCGAGTTTCATTGTTGACAAAAGCTGCTGGGAATTATTTTGGTCTGCGGCAAGAAACACTAATTCAACATGACGGACGGAGCGAGAAAGCACTTAAAGGGTATTGATCCCGGTTATTTATCCACTCTAACGACCGAAGACGATTTGACCAGAAATTGGTCATAAGCATCGATGGACGCCAAATCACCCTTTTCAACCCCGGCAAAAGGTGGACCAAACCAAATTTCTAGTCAGAATCGCCAACTACCTGGCTAAATATTCACTTCGGCGATATCCACAATGACTTGGTGGAAACTCGTGGGCCATTCACAGCAGAAAAGATGAAAGCCTCCAAGAGTCTCGATGTGTTGTTGAACTTGTTGGAGTCCACGGTTTGCTAGGATCTTCTACGTTTGCTCTGCGGATGTTTGAAAGTCGTTTAATTCGACGTTAGCAGTTCTTTTCACTCAGAATATGAAAAAGACATTTTCCTTCTTCCGTGCTTCTATTTGTGCATCCGATAATGCAGCAGGAATTTACCATTATCGGGGATAAATATGCGAGGTTACGCACTGTGTTTGACCGCTATCGTGTTTCTTGCCTCCAACCAAAATATTTCCCAGCATGCAACAATAACTAGGGGTGTCAAATTATCGCGTTAATTGCGATTAATTAATTACAGTCATATTTAGCGCGTTATGTTTTTTAATCGCGTTAATCTCATTTTTAATCTCTAACTTTAGTGTTTCTGTATGCGAGTTGCTTTATTATAAAACCTGTTTTTATGTGTTGTTGGGACAACAACACACACACACACACAAACCACATTTATACATTTTTTTAATTTTGGTAATTCCACTCATTGCCGGAAACCCACACAAAACGCGCGCAGTAAGAGCGATGTGAACGTCATGTTAAAGTTGGCGGCGTCAGGCACAGTGGACGAGGTCGTAGAGCCAGTAGAACAGAGTCAGCAGTGCACAGGTAAAAACACATTCGTGTCTTGGAAATTATTTTCCCGACGTGAAATATAAAAGAAAATAACTAATATAATATCGCCTACAACTTAAATGTCACTGGTGAAAACAACCTGCATAGACTCATGATGTCTGCACTACTGTCCTATAGTGACCTGCCACATGAGGGGACACGCACACAAACACACACAAACACAAACACACACCTTCATCATCGTCATTAACCTGAGAACGCGCGGACCACGTTTCCTTATGTAGACACTGCGCGGACACCGACGTGCTCCCGTGAGCCGCGTGTGGATCGTGTTTTCTCGCGTACGCGGCGTAAACCGCGCTTCCTCCTGTGCGCCTCTAAACCAGAACTAACACCAAGACTAAAACCAGGACTAAACCAGGTCTAAACCAGAACTAAAACCAGGTCTAAACCAGGACTAAACCAGAACTAAAACCAGAACTAAAACCAGAACTAAAACCAGGACTAAACCAGGACTAAACCAGAACTAAAACCAGAACTAAAACCAGGTCTAAACCAGGACTAAACCAGAACTAAAACCAGAACTAAAACCAGGACTAAACCAGGACTAAACCAGAACTAAAACCAGGTCTAAACCAGGACTAAACCAGGACCAAACCAGGACTAAAACCAGGACTAAAACCAGTGATCTCATATATAAAGCATTTCTCTATCAATAATATTTTTAATATGGTTAAGGAAAGACTGGACTTTTTATTGTCTTTAAGTAGACAAAAGTTATTATGTTCAGATTTCCTCGTCTTTGCTACTTTACAACAAACAGTTTCTAATTCATGGAGACTTGGGCTCAACAGACCAATTTGGAGAGACATTTGTTAAACAATAAATGACTTTATAAAGTCACTTTTTTTTGTTCTATATCAGTCTTTTGATCTGCCACAATAATGTAATAATGAATTTAAATGAAAATACCTCAAATTGAAGGCTTTTCTCAGCAATTTTTAGGTGAGATTAAAATGAGATTAATTAGATTAATTAATTACAGATCATAATTAATTAATCTCTCAATTTTTTTAATCGCATGACAGCACTAACAATAACGTCAGCTGAAACTTGCCTATACGTGTGAAAGTGTGAATTTGAGTGCAAGAGTATGAGAGTATGAAAGTGAGTGTATTAGTATGTAAAAATATGAGTGAGCGAGAGTTTGAGAATGAGATGGTGAGATTGTGAAAAAGTGAGAATTTGAAAGAGTCAGAATATAGAAGTGTGGGAGTTTGACAGAATACGAGAGCAAGACTATGAGAGTATGAAAACAAGAGTTTGAGAGTACAAGAGTATGAGGGAGTGAGTATGAGTATGTGAGTGTAAAGAGTGAGAG